TATATATATATATCGAGAAAGAGAGAGAGAGACACATGAGTATATATGCAAAACCATTTTGTGATCTGGTGTAGTGTTAATATTTTTTCAAAATATTAAACCCTGTGTTATTTTTTTCACCTGGGGCCACTTCTGGGCCCCCTACAAATCACATTTCCATGGCTTCCTGTTTCTCTATCAGTATGATTCATAAAAATTTGTTCCGCCTGTCAAGTACAAAATAGAAGATAAGTTGATTAAAGGCTTTTAAGTCTTCCCAGTTCTCAACAATATATATTTGAAATGCTATACACAGGAATATATTTAACAAAAAACCTTAAGAAGCTTTGCCACTATTATTGAAACTAACTTTTTTTTTTTTTTTGCAGCTCCTATAAAGCATTTGGTGGGGGGATAAGCATCATCAAAGACAGAAACACAACCCAAGGGGAAAACCATATTTACCTGTTGTGTCTGTTATATATATCTATATAGCTATATATAGATATATATATTTCTAATTCAGTCACACTGATCAGTGCCTATTTTCCAGACTGTCTTTCAGTGTGCTTAACTATCTGCCATATTTAAGGTGAATACAAAAATAATAATAATAGTAATAATTGTCCCTATAATTGATCAGAGATGATCCAACATGTAAAAGGATTACAAACAAATCAAATCAATCAATTCGTTACTTATCTGCACTCTGTTTCCTTTTCCATGAAGTAGCAGCCCTATGATCAGCCTGTTTACTTCCCATGTTTTGTTTTTTTTAAATAAAGCAGGAAATGCAGTGATAGAACACCTCCTTGGTTTTTTTGCCTGTTAGTCGATGACTATTGAAGGCTGACGCATTCACATGTGTTCCATTACCTAAAAGCTTTCTCTCTTCCCATTTGGTTCTACTGCCATAACAGAGAGCTGCACTAGAGTAGGTCATGGTAATTCAGCGTCAGCACTGTGATATACATAACATGCTCAGCTGATAGCTGCTCCCAATACCTCACATTACATGCACCATGTCAAGGACAGACTGGAGATTCTAGGAATGTACATAAAAGTGGATTTGGCCATTCAATGCTTGTGTGAGCATTTAAAGATAACTTCCTTGTGTAGGAAAATACAGTAAAATACAATATACAAACTCTGTAATATGTCCACTGCTCTGTTTCCAGCTGCCTTTGTTATAGACGTGTTTGTCTTTTTCAAATATCAAAGTGTATGTCTTATTATCTTTGCAATGATTTTTCTGTAAAAAGGTTGTTTTTATCAGCCATCTCTTGAAATATTGTATAGTGTTTGCTACTTGAAGTGCACTAGCAGCATTCTGTAGTGTTCTCCTCTGCCCCTTAGAGGGATTTGCCAAGTCATTCTCAAGGCCCTGTCAAGGAGGCTGTTCGAGCCCACTGGGCAGATACCTTTAAGGCCATTGTCCGTCAAAAAGGATTGCTGCTTATTCTGGCTTGAGCCTCTAGGGTAAATAATTTGTCCACCCCAGCCCATCCAAGACCTATCAAAAATATGAGTTGCACCACACTCAGAGGAAACTCTTTGCCTAAGAACACTGTGTTTTGGATGGTGCAGCTCTATGCCCTTTAGAGGAGGAAAAAAGGAAAAGGCAAAATAATTTATTCCCACAACAGGATTTGGCATGCAATTTGGAAAGCACAACATCTCACTGGCAAACTCCTGTCCAAACACAAGCTTGCCAATTAGCTGTGTGAAGATGTCTCACAAGCCTGTGAGTGGACAGGCCCTCCTCTGGCAATTCGTGCGCCCTCCACAAGGAGTCCTGGCAGCCTTGTTTGGTGGGAAATTTGCTATTGGAGAGCTGTAGAGCAGCATGAGGTGCAGCAGTCATTGGAGGCTTTTTGGCCTCCCTGGATACACATCTTAGCTACGTCTTGAAAACTGCGTCTGGTGTCTTTGTGCTTGCCATCTTGCCCTCTGCATGAAGTTTAAAGGTGCATGTGTTGGTGTATTTCAGCTCTTGCTTTTCAGTGTTTGTGCTCTCTGCTAAGAAATGTCTCATAGTTGTTGTGTTTTGGCTTGAGCAGAAAAGATGATGACGAGCGCTGTGGTAACATCTCATATCGACTCGTAAAAAATGGAGTCCTGTACAGGCTGAACTGATGTTGACACATGTCGTAGGCTGTTGGGGCAGTGTACTCACCAAGCTGTGTTGACTGCTTTCCTCTGCCTTGCTGTGCAGTAACACAGTTCCTGTGTGAGCTGTGTCACCAACTTCATATTGCTCAGTGGGTACAATAATTACAAGGTTTTGTGACAGATTTTAGCATGGCACCAGAAAAAGAAGAAATCACTCCAGTACTTTGGAGAATTTGGAGTCTCATTCTTTGACACCAATCAGGCTTCTTTAGGATGGAATATTGTACTATGTACCTTTCTACTCTTTCTGTTGAGACATTCGTTGACCTCAGCGGCTGGCTGGTAGAACTTAAAAGAAGTTAAATCAGTGTCACAGCAGGTGTTACTGACCTGATCTTCTTTTAACAGATAAAGTCTGTGTAAATATCACAAAGGCTATCTAAAGTATTACCTATAATTTGAACAACAGTGGAAGCTCTAACTATCTTCTCTGCTCCTCAATAGTCTCTTAAAGCTTAAAGGATAAAAGGAAGAGGAAAAGTAAGCCCCTCATATAGTATATGTTCAGTCCTCAGACAGTTACATTCATACAGATTGACTTGCAAATTGTTAGTCAGTGAATTCATGAATAACTAATTAGAGATCCTCACTTGTCTTCATAGACCGAGGGTTTCAATGCATAACCACTGTTTTCTCACTGCTACCAAGTCTAAAACAAAGACACAATCCTTATGCTCATTAGTTTGGATGTCGCCTGTAGTTTGGTTTGACAGCATTAAGCAGGTATTATATAAACTTTGTCAAATATTGTTTATGTTTTGTTCTCATTCGCACATTTCACATCTGTTAACCCAAAAAAATGCAGAGTCTCATTTTATACTCTATGTCCAATAGTAGTGCAGGGAGCTCACGATGCCATGCATGGCTTCCCTGAATTAATTAGAAGAGGGCTGACTGACGACCATTGGCAAATTAATGTCATTAGTGAGCAGAATTATGGTATAATGATTAGCGCCTAATTTTCTGGACAGTAGGAAAATGTTTGAAACTGATGTCAGTTAGACTTGTGAAGAAAAGACAGATAGGAAAGCAGGAAGAACATGGCTTCGGAGAGGTTGTGTTTACTTTTTTATACTATATTTACAGTGTGGTGATGCTGATGTGGTGTAATATTGGTTATACTGTTTTTCATTGAAAGTCTAGTGAATTTAAGTTTGCTGCACAGGATATGTTTTGAGGTGTTCCATGTAAAAAGCACTTTCCAAACATGATAAGAAAAAGGAAAATAGGAAGTATATACTGAAGAGCAAACTGACCTTGAAGAGACGCAAAATGTTGGCTACCATGATTGACACGGAGCTGGCAGATGCACCAATTACTCCCACCACTCTCTCGGGCTTAGTGATGATGGGCGGCCCTCCGCTGAGACATTTGACATCAGTTGAGTCTTTCTCAATCAGTGCCTGAACAAATGTCAGTGACTGTTCCAGAGCGTGGGTGTCCCGTGAGCAGGTGTCCAGTATGCGTGCCCCCAGAGTGATATTAGGCAGCAGCTCATTGTCATTATTGATACGATCCAGGGCAAATAACATGGCCTCCAGCCTATGGATTCCTTTCTCCTTCTTCAGCTCTCCACAAGCTTTGCCGTCATTTCCTCTCGCGTGCACCGGAAACAGCCCGCCTAGGGATATGTCCCCATCAATACGTATTGAGTTTAGGTGTGTATGGCCCGGCATTTTCGGTTTGGCAGCCAAGGAGATCAAGACATAACAAGCCAGCAGCAACACCCAGCAGCAGACACCTTTGTGGCAGCCAATCCATGCTCTCTCAAAGCCTCTTTGCAGAGTCATAATGAAAGGCTAAACCCGCATCCAAATACAAATTCAAGTCCTTTGAAAATGAAAGAGGTGTGCGCACATATACCCGCACACACATACAAATGTCCTGAAGGTTTAGCCGCAATATTTTTCAGAGCACGGTTGTCTTCAGAAGTCTCTTCTCATGGTTTCTAGCTCTGCAACAAATTCGCTAATACTAATTATGCAGCTGTGCTCTCTTTATCTCTTACCCTTTCTTCTTTCCTCTTTGTGTTTCACTCACTTTTCCTGCACCTTAGAGTTGTGGATACATGCAGTAACTAAACAGTACAGAGTGTTCTGAGGTGGAGTCCACAGAGAGCAGCTCTCATAAGGCAAGAACAAAGGTGGGAAGCTTGCCTCTCTTCTCTGGTTCTCCAGAATCACTCAGGTGCATTTAGCTTTCCTCTTGGTGTGTCAAACAGGCAGAAAGTTACAAGGCCAGCCAGTGGGCTCCACAGTGGGTGCCTGCAAAGAGAGAGAAGAGGTGTCAGAGGCCCTGAAGAAAAGAGCAGGAAAAGCCACTTTTGGAAATAAAAGGAAATGAAAGATGGAATGGAATCTCAGTCATTAAATTTCAATAAAGATGGCTTTATGCAGGGATGGCCTTTTATTAGTGTCAGTCAATGTTAAGGTTTTCTCTTTGTAGAATCTCCTAGAAAAGGCACACTTTATGGTTAGTGTGTGTTAGAGAAGCTGCAATGTCACGCATGCTTTTTTAATTGACATCATATTCAAAGGGGCACATAATGCTAGCTTTGGACAGCCAAAGCTCTAGTCTAGTTTGTCGATTCTTAGATTCAAGCAGAAATAATACCAGAACCCAGCACTATACACAGGAAATCTATTCTGTGTTGCACCCATGCCTCAACTGCTTTCAGAGTACTGCAATGAATTATTTCTATGTGCCTTGAGCATAACTGATTTGCTCCTGGTTGGCAGTGTTCCATAGGCTTTATAACGGCACACTGCTCTCTTCATGTAGATCGTCTCCAGAGCGTTATACCAAAGGTTATGAAACACGCTAGCAAATTAAGAGCACATGATTCTGAAAATCAAAAACCACATTCTTTGACTTGTGAACTTATTCACTCTTTGCACATCTTATCCCTCATAGCCTTTCCAATCCTTTGTATCAGCTGTACTCTATTTATATATGTGTGTATGTTTGTGTCTGTGTGTGTCCTTGTATATTCTTTCAAAGACAACTGGCTTCCTCCACAGCGCCAGACTAATAGAGCAATGGATCTGGACACAGTGGGAGAAGCCTGCAGTTGTCCCTCTCTCTCAATTGACCATCACACACACACACATATCTGTCAGACTTTCCTTCATGCTGGTTTTGTATGCTAACATACAGCCCCCTGCTGTGTTTCAGCCTGTAACAGAGGACACAAAGGGCAAAAATTCTCTTAGGATCACAAAGTTGCGCTACAATGCACCAGCTGTCAGACCATCACTTCCGATTGGTTATATCTGAAGTTATTTTAATGCAAATGGAAGTGTAGTGTAGTAATAGCTGTTTTTTATTTTAACATTTTTCTCTAATTTTGCAAAAAAAACTTGGCTAGCTGTCTCAGAAGTGGAGGGGTCAAGAGATTTGCTGTGTATCGTGAATTATAGACAGCCTTGTTTGTGCTCGTCGCATGTTTGTGTTGCTTTCTTTTACTTTAGACTTCATATCAAATTATAAAGATACAGCGCTAACGCTGAACAGTGGCCTATCTTGTTCTGCCTCTCCCATCCTGCTGGGAACCAAAAGGAGATATTTATATCATTCTGCACAGATTATCCTTCTAAAACATAGCATTCATAATGGATGAAAGCCTACCAGTCACTGCAAAACATCCCATTCTGGGGGAAAGCCTCGAAGAGAAGGCAGAGGGAAAGGTAGCTACATGGGTTTAAATATGAAAAGAGTTGAAAATAGACAAATGGGTGGAAAAGTAACCTGACGAACAATTTAAAATGGGGGTAAGGATAATGATGATGGAGTAATGCCTGCTTTTTCACCACTATTAACATGCATTTTTTGCACATTTTTATCACCTTTTTATCAGCCATATCAATATATTAATATCAAGTTTTCTTCCACATTCTTTAATGTCTGTATTTGGGTCTACTATTCACAATTCATACAGTCTGCTTCGGCACACTGTGACAGAACGAGCTGACCATGTTGGACACAGACTTTCAAAATAAAACAGGAAACAGCATGGAACGACATAGACATGATAGCACAAGCTTGACAACATGAACAAGAAGACAAGAAACATGACAGACTAACACAGAAGAGTGAAACGTAGCTAGACTAAACTTAAGGCAACCAAATGATAATCCTATTACTCAACATATTTCAAGGAATAACTTAAGAACTCAAAATATAAACTGGAAACGCTGGGTCAGAGACCCATGATCGTGACAATTTTTAAAAGATTTTAAGCATTGGTGGCCCAAAATTCAACAACTGTATTTATCTTTGTTATATTGTAAAACAAAATTCCATGTACCACCCCGTAAAGTGGGGACAAAAGCTCCAGGCTGGGAACGTCTTATTTTAAATCAGCCCATCCAATTATCATTTTGATTACACACTAAGCAGCCACAATCAAGATAATTACAGTGCACCTCTCCACAAAACAACCAGATAAATGCCTTGAGAGCTGGACAATACTCTGGTAATTGAGTCACATTCTAAGAATAAGCCTTGACATGTGAAGATGAAGTCCTGCCTACCTCTCAAGATCTTTTTAGAAGAGGTGGACAGCAGTACCTTCACTGTCATCACTCTGGAACACGGCATACACAGTGGCAGCTTTACCAGATGTTTAGTCACAAGGCCCAGATGGGCAGAGCAGAAAAACATCAGCTGTCTGCTCAGAGTATGAGTAGGGGGTAAAATGCAGAATCCACATAGCGACTGTCTCCCCTCACTGCTATGAGGAGGAGCTGTGGTTTCCTCTGCACTCAACCAGAGTCCCCTGCTGCTGTAAGCATTACCACACTGACAGCTGACAGGGCTAAGGTTTTACTCCAGTAAAAGTTTCACTTAAATGGAATTACACATTTCTATAGACTAATTTGTAGACAGTGTTTACTGAAGTGTGTCTCCAATTCAAAAGACAATGAAGCTTTGTGAAATGTGCAATGTACTGTGCAGAAGTCACCCCTCATTTCTTTATATTTTGCTAGGAAAATGGGTGCAGTGTTTTATTGAAATGTGCAAACACACCTGGAAATACAGGGTTTGTTCAATTCTAACAAGTTTGAAAGTTAGTACTTGGTATGATCACCTTTATTCTTCAGCACAGCCTGAAACCTCTTTGGCAGGCTTGTAATTTCTTCAGGAATAGTTCCCTAAGCTTCTTGAAGGACATTCAAAGCTCTTCTTTGAATGTTGGCTGCCTTTTGTTTCAATCTCTGTCAAGATGATCCCACGCTGTTTCAACAATGTTAAGGTTTGGACTCTGGGGAGGCCAGTCCATGACTGACAGTGTTACACTATTTGCTTTTCTATCCAGGTATGCTCTTACTGCACTGACAATGTGTTCAGGAATATTTTCATCCTGACAAATGAAGCTGTTGCCAGTCCGACACTTTCCACCGGTACTGCTTGACTGAAATCTAACTTTTCTGCACTCATAATTCCATCACTTCTGACATGATGCACAACACCACCAAATGAAATGAAGCCCCAAACCATGACAGAGTCGCCACTGTGTTTTACTCACTGCTGTACTCCTCTATACACACTTACAATGATCTGAAGAAAAAATGTAATTATTTTTAGTAATTTTAGTGCAATTGATGTTTTATATGGCTTACTTCAATTTAATCTGCCTGTTTCACTTCCTTAAGACTGGACTCTTGTTAGCCAGCGTTCCTCTGAGACCATTTCTGATGATAGATGGATCAACTGAAGAGCCAAATGCATCTCTCAGCTCATGTGGCAGGTCATTGCTGGATTTTCTTTTTCCTGATTCTTAAGAACATGACTGTCAGATACTGTTCATCTGTTGTAGATAGTTATTTTTTGGCCTACAACTTCTTTCTTTTCTCCTTCCCGTAGCTAGTTACCTCAAACCTTTTAAGAAGACAGTGCCCACCATGCCAAAATATGCCAAGCTTTTATCCAATAGCTCTTTAGGAATCATCTTGCTAGTGCAAAAATACTGTTTTTGCCATTTCAACGAAAGAAATGGAAATAGATTACAGGCTGCCAGTAAGATCAGGATCACTTTAATAATTAAAAGAAAGTCTGGTTCATAGAATCAAAGAATAATGAAATGAGGGGTAACTCAAGACTATTGCACATTATTATAAATAAAGCAATAATTTCAAAACAATTTAAACCCTAACTTCCAAAGTTTTATTGTTTTTAAATTGGCTTTAGGGTTAGTAAAGGTAATGGAAAGGGTTATCATTTTTTGTTTTCAAGTCGTTTCGTTTTCAAGTCATTACAAAATTATAGATTTTGGCTGGCATCAAATGACACTTGGGACTATTTGATGATGTCACATATTTATTTATTTATTTCGTTTTTAGTGGTTGAATTTTACTGACATTTGTTATGCAGCAAATGTCAGGGAACTGAGTTGCTCTTGATTTAAGTAATGAAGAGCTGCAAAAGGATTAAATACTAAAACGGAGGGACTCGTATACACTGTCTCAGAAATAGTTTGGAAAAGTACAAATGGCCAAACGATCAAAGATTGTCAACAGCAATTCAAAATTTTGAATCAGCCGTTGGCTACTTGCCAGCCACGACAAAGCCAGACTGACAAGCAAACTCCCACTGAGCCAGACTGTTTGAGGAAGCGCAGCCAAATCAGCAAATGCCTTGCTATAAAAAGATCTTTGTCTAATTTTTAAACCAAGTCTGGCATTAGCCGTAGTTTGAGTTTCACTTCGCACTTTATACAAGAAAAAGACATCACCAGGATTATAACAGCCACACACAGCCGCACCTTCCCACCCCGAAACCACATTCACAGTTAAAATGCAGCTTTCACATCGTGTGAATAACATTTCAGCTATTCATAATAGCTGAAAAACCACTGCCGCTGGTGAACTTGTCACATGTCTTGAGTTTGTGTTGCATGGCCTTTTTATTAAATAATGATCTCCAGTTTTACTATTGTTCAGCTTCTTTGAACATCCTATAAAGCTCAAAAGAAATGCAGCGAGACACAGGCTCAATTTTGCATTCAGTTGTAACTACGAAGCCTCACAAAAACATGCAACCTGCTAATAGGTCTGTCAAAGCTGTACTGGGCACTGCCTGACAGTGATATCCTAATCCAACGTGGAACTTCTGTTTTGGCCGTTATGCTTCAGCAGAGGAGATACTTAGGCCCAAAAGACCAATATGATCACAGCCGAGAGTAGCGATAAAGTCCTCAGAATGGAGAACGTCACACTCTCTGCATGTCTGTGGGCTGGTTTGCTCAAAGTGTTTTTTTCGAGCC